GAAGCGATAAGAACATCAATAGACCAATATTATTATCGGCGAGGAAGATAATTAAAATACGTTCGAACAAGAATTGCATACTATTAACTTCGACAAGGTCTATCGTTATAGAGCCATTATGATAGCTAGTGGAACAAGCGCAAGTTTGATCAGACATAACGTTCGTCCTCCCGATAAAAAGTTCCCCAGACAAAACGGTCGAAAAAGTAGCAACTGCAGTCATCGTGAGGTCCTTGATTACAGCCTATCATTCCTAAACTTCAACACTTTTTGTTCATCAACATTGAACAGCCATTGAACCTCCATTTAGCTTAGGTCACGTGCGAGCACTGGCGTCTTCGAATCGCGGCACTAGTCACGTCTCGGTTTTCTCATAGTTCCCGCAATTAGTGGGGCGGCTAGCGCATTTGTCGGGTTTAGGTATCGATCGTTGCGAAGCCCCGAACAAGTTGCAACAGTTCCTGTAATCGTTCTATCGAGCTTGGAGCCGTTGTTGCCGGCGCGGTCGCCGGGGCGAAATTAAAAATTCCATCATCTCGTTCTCGATATATTGAATCGCGAGGCTGCCGCCGGGGAGCATAAGAATCGGCCTGGCCCAAGAAAGACGATTTCGCAGTCGAGCGATTCGAGGCCGTGGTTTCTGCGGGAACTCGAGGTGTTCACAGTTCGCTGCTTAGTAGTATTACCATTCTTTCGGGCAAATGCGAATTTCAGCCGGGATCCGGATCCTCAAGGCTAGCCTGGTTTAAGCACTTCGTACGAAAGTTTTTCATTAAATCGGAGCTCCTCGATCGACGAACATTATCGCGCGGAACGACGAATCTCGAGCAACGATAAGTATCACATTGATTATTAGAGCCCTATAGATTATGTTCGTTCAGGTGAAAGTTGATTAGCATTTCGGAGAAAACTCTTTGCTTTGATTTCGAATTAAGACGTCGGAGATGAAAAATGTTGTGTGTCTTTTCTCCGTTTGATAGCTCTCTTTTCAGTGATTAGATTCTCTCTGCGGATTTTATGCATTTATAACTAAAATGAATACGTTACATGCGAGACGGCAACAACGTTTAAAGAATTCAAGGATATTATTCAATTACTCTCACGAAAATAATCGACAAAGAAACTAAATGTTTACCTAGCTGCTGTACCTTACAATTAATGCAGACGATTCATATTTTACATAAAAATTCGCAGTCTATTAATGACAAGGATAATTTATTGGTGTGCCGAAAATTGCATTTGACAATTTCAAATTGGATTAACACTAAACCTACCAAGCAGTAATACTAACTGGCATGTACCGCTTCGCAAAAGTGAGAAGACCGAATTTATTTAGAATTTGTAAAGTTTTTATTATAAAACTTGCTCGAATAGTATAACTTATTCAAGCGTTTTCCACGAAAGAGTCTCGGAACTTTGCAGAATTGCAAAATAAGAAAGCGGCCACTTTGACCGCGGTAGGTTTAGTGTTAAAATATTTTTATACGCGTCACTAGAATTTAGATGATTTTCATCGTTTTCGGAGATACAGTGGTGATGATTTCACCCTTTGAAATGAGCACAGAAACTTCGCGATACGACCATCTGCGACATATTTGAAGTTCGTCAAATATCTCATAACTGATACATATTTATCTGTGGCCCACTTTTGATTCAAATGATTAATAGAACATCAGGAAAAAATCGTACATTGATGTTTTTGGACTCGTTGCGAAGCAGAGATAAAAAATAACCTTTGATATATATAAGGTATAAATAATCTTGACATAACCCTATTAGTTTCAATGGTAAAATAATCAATGGGGTAAAAATTGTTCAATTCCTCGGAGATATGCAAAGTTGTATTTTTGTTAAAATGAATTCATTGTTGCAAAAATTGCGACTACTGACGCAGTCACTTTGGAAATAACCAACCCGTTTTTAATTTTCATTTTCCAGTAGCATCGTGGTATAAGACAGACCATTTGCAACAAAGCAACAACTCTTTGAAGTTCGTAAAATTTGCTTCTATTTGGTCGCAGTAGTATAGGTCGACCATATTGCAGCCGGCATTGAGTACAGCGTGTGTGTAGAGCTGTCTTCGGAATTTTTCCCTGCAGCATTGAACGTGTGTGCATGTTTGAAATTTTTATGTGTATTTCTACGTACTTTTAGCAGTAGAAAATATTTGACGTCATACTAAGAGTCACTGTCTATTTTAGAATCCATATAGTTTGTGGTGCTAGAAATATATTCGACAAAGTAATCCCATAATTTTTAAGTCACGAATAACTAATAAATCAAATAAATCTGGTTTATTCTATTTTCTATAAGCGGAGCTCTAATTGGAATCATAGCAATTTGTTTAACAATTAATTTATTGCAATGAGAAGCAACAGAATACAAGTAACGATTTTAATAGAAGATTTCAATTTCGTTCAAAATTGCATCCATGATTTCTAAAATTCTGTAATTTTTCCAACTTTATAAATTATTTTGAATTGTTTAAATAGCTCGGAGAAAATATGATTAAACTTCTGACCTCTTTTAGCGTTTAAATTCACTTCAGAACGATGCTACTTGAAATTCGTTTTATTAGGAAATTTGGAGGACGTACCGAAATGTATTGACGCGATCTCCGAATCATCGTGTGCAAGATTGGAAACTAGGCGAATCAGGAAACACCGTGAAAGGTATCCGAGATTCGTGGCACGTACCTGAGGTATTCGGAAAAGTCGCAGAAGGTTCGCCACTTGGATGGATGTGACAGAGCTGGCGGCACCGACGACACCGCTGATGACCTTTCGCACTGCAGTTTTATTGCAGTGATACTCGGCACCGTCAATATTGCTTATTGACCCTGAAACACAAAGATAAACGTGTGATGTTAGCTTCGTTCGATTCCAAAAGCAATTCGCGAAATCCTACGCTTCGATGCTACAGCTTTTTATGTTTTATGTGTACGTATTTTAAAAATAATTGTACAGTGAATTAAGGTGACGTTAATCAGACACATGCAGCACGTTTGTCAAATTATGCTACAATTATTTGTGTTTTTTTTAATCATTTTATGCTTTATACGATTTTCTGAATTTTTATATTATTTAACAAACGTTTGTTGCAAGTAAATGTATTATTATAAATTAGAATATATCAATGAAATCTATCTGTTTATTAAAAATGAAATTTTCATTTATACATCATTTATGAACAAAATTTTCTGGACTTTTGTGCTTTATACGATTTTCTGGATTTTTATATTATTTAACAAACGTTTGTTGCAAGTAAATGTATTATTATAAATTAGAATATATCAATGAAATCTATCTGTTTATTAAAAATGAAATTTTCATTTATACATCATTTATGAACAAAATTTTCTGGACTTTTGTGCTTTATACGATTTTCTGGATTTTTATATTATTTAACAAACGTTTGTTGCAAGTAAATGTATTATTATAAATTAGAATATATCAATGAAATCTATCTGTTTATTAAAAATGAAATTTTCATTTATACATCATTTATGAACAAAATTTTCTGGACTTTTGTGCTTTATACGATTTTCTGGATTTTTATATTATTTAACAAACGTTTGTTGCAAGTAAATGTATTATTATAAATTAGAATATATCAATGAAATCTATCTGTTTATTAAAAATGAAATTTTCATTTATACATCATTTATGAACAAAATTTTCTGGACTTTTGTGCTTTATACGATTTTCTGGATTTTTATATTATTTAACAAACGTTTGTTGCAAGTAAATGTATTATTATAAATTAGAATATATCAATGAAATCTATCTGTTTATTAAAAATGAAATTTTCATTTATACATCATTTATGAACAAAATTTTCTGGACTTTTGTGCTTTATACGATTTTCTGGATTTTTATATTATTTAACAAACGTTTGTTGCAAGTAAATGTATTATTATAAATTAGAATATATCAATGAAATCTATCTGTTTATTAAAAATGAAATTTTCATTTATACATCATTTATGAACAAAATTTTCTGGACTTTTGTGCTTTATACGATTTTCTGGATTTTTATATTATTTAACAAACGTTTGTTGCAAGTAAATGTATTATTATAAATTAGAATATATCAATGAAATCTATCTGTTTATTAAAAATGAAATTTTCATTTATACATCATTTATGAACAAAATTTTCTGGACTTTTGTGCTTTATACGATTTTCTGGATTTTTATATTATTTAACAAACGTTTGTTGCAAGTAAATGTATTATTATAAATTAGAATATATCAATGAAATCTATCTGTTTATTAAAAATGAAATTTTCATTTATACATCATTTATGAACAAAATTTTCTGGACTTTTGTGCTTTATACGATTTTCTGGATTTTTATATTATTTAACAAACGTTTGTTGCAAGTAAATGTATTATTATAAATTAGAATATATCAATGAAATCTATCTGTTTATTAAAAATGAAATTTTCATTTATACATCATTTATGAACAAAATTTTCTGGACTTTTGTGCTTTATACGATTTTCTGGATTTTTATATTATTTAACAAACGTTTGTTGCAAGTAAATGTATTATTATAAATTAGAATATATCAATGAAATCTATCTGTTTATTAAAAATGAAATTTTCATTTATACATCATTTATGAACAAAATTTTCTGGACTTTTGTGCTTTATACGATTTTCTGGATTTTTATATTATTTAACAAACGTTTGTTGCAAGTAAATGTATTATTATAAATTAGAATATATCAATGAAATCTATCTGTTTATTAAAAATGAAATTTTCATTTATACATCATTTATGAACAAAATTTTCTGGACTTTTGTGCTTTATACGATTTTCTGGATTTTTATATTATTTAACAAACGTTTGTTGCAAGTAAATGTATTATTATAAATTAGAATATATCAATGAAATCTATCTGTTTATTAAAAATGAAATTTTCATTTATACATCATTTATGAACAAAATTTTCTGGACTTTTGTGCTTTATACGATTTTCTGGATTTTTATATTATTTAACAAACGTTTGTTGCAAGTAAATGTATTATTATAAATTAGAATATATCAATGAAATCTATCTGTTTATTAAAAATGAAATTTTCATTTATACATCATTTATGAACAAAATTTTCTGGACTTTTGTGCTTTATACGATTTTCTGGATTTTTATATTATTTAACAAACGTTTGTTGCAAGTAAATGTATTATTATAAATTAGAATATATCAATGAAATCTATCTGTTTATTAAAAATGAAATTTTCATTTATACATCATTTATGAACAAAATTTTCTGGACTTTTGTGCTTTATACGATTTTCTGGATTTTTATATTATTTAACAAACGTTTGTTGCAAGTAAATGTATTATTATAAATTAGAATATATCAATGAAATCTATCTGTTTATTAAAAATGAAATTTTCATTTATACATCATTTATGAACAAAATTTTCTGGACTTTTGTGCTTTATACGATTTTCTGGATTTTTATATTATTTAACAAACGTTTGTTGCAAGTAAATGTATTATTATAAATTAGAATATATCAATGAAATCTATCTGTTTATTAAAAATGAAATTTTCATTTATACATCATTTATGAACAAAATTTTCTGGACTTTTGTGCTTTATACGATTTTCTGGATTTTTATATTATTTAACAAACGTTTGTTGCAAGTAAATGTATTATTATAAATTAGAATATATCAATGAAATCTATCTGTTTATTAAAAATGAAATTTTCATTTATACATCATTTATGAACAAAATTTTCTGGACTTTTGTGCTTTATACGATTTTCTGGATTTTTATATTATTTAACAAACGTTTGTTGCAAGTAAATGTATTATTATAAATTAGAATATATCAATGAAATCTATCTGTTTATTAAAAATGAAATTTTCATTTATACATCATTTATGAACAAAATTTTCTGGACTTTTGTGCTTTATACGATTTTCTGGATTTTTATATTATTTAACAAACGTTTGTTGCAAGTAAATGTATTATTATAAATTAGAATATATCAATGAAATCTATCTGTTTATTAAAAATGAAATTTTCATTTATACATCATTTATGAACAAAATTTTCTGGACTTTTGTGCTTTATACGATTTTCTGGATTTTTATATTATTTAACAAACGTTTGTTGCAAGTAAATGTATTATTATAAATTAGAATATATCAATGAAATCTATCTGTTTATTAAAAATGAAATTTTCATTTATACATCATTTATGAACAAAATTTTCTGGACTTTTGTGCTTTATACGATTTTCTGGATTTTTATATTATTTAACAAACGTTTGTTGCAAGTAAATGTATTATTATAAATTAGAATATATCAATGAAATCTATCTGTTTATTAAAAATGAAATTTTCATTTATACATCATTTATGAACAAAATTTTCTGGACTTTTGTGCTTTATACGATTTTCTGGATTTTTATATTATTTAACAAACGTTTGTTGCAAGTAAATGTATTATTATAAATTAGAATATATCAATGAAATCTATCTGTTTATTAAAAATGAAATTTTCATTTATACATCATTTATGAACAAAATTTTCTGGACTTTTGTGCTTTATACGATTTTCTGGATTTTTATATTATTTAACAAACGTTTGTTGCAAGTAAATGTATTATTATAAATTAGAATATATCAATGAAATCTATCTGTTTATTAAAAATGAAATTTTCATTTATACATCATTTATGAACAAAATTTTCTGGACTTTTGTGCTTTATACGATTTTCTGGATTTTTATATTATTTAACAAACGTTTGTTGCAAGTAAATGTATTATTATAAATTAGAATATATCAATGAAATCTATCTGTTTATTAAAAATGAAATTTTCATTTATACATCATTTATGAACAAAATTTTCTGGACTTTTGTGCTTTATACGATTTTCTGGATTTTTATATTATTTAACAAACGTTTGTTGCAAGTAAATGTATTATTATAAATTAGAATATATCAATGAAATCTATCTGTTTATTAAAAATGAAATTTTCATTTATACATCATTTATGAACAAAATTTTCTGGACTTTTGTGCTTTATACGATTTTCTGGATTTTTATATTATTTAACAAACGTTTGTTGCAAGTAAATGTATTATTATAAATTAGAATATATCAATGAAATCTATCTGTTTATTAAAAATGAAATTTTCATTTATACATCATTTATGAACAAAATTTTCTGGACTTTTGTGCTTTATACGATTTTCTGGATTTTTATATTATTTAACAAACGTTTGTTGCAAGTAAATGTATTATTATAAATTAGAATATATCAATGAAATCTATCTGTTTATTAAAAATGAAATTTTCATTTATACATCATTTATGAACAAAATTTTCTGGACTTTTGTGCTTTATACGATTTTCTGGATTTTTATATTATTTAACAAACGTTTGTTGCAAGTAAATGTATTATTATAAATTAGAATATATCAATGAAATCTATCTGTTTATTAAAAATGAAATTTTCATTTATACATCATTTATGAACAAAATTTTCTGGACTTTTGTGCTTTATACGATTTTCTGGATTTTTATATTATTTAACAAACGTTTGTTGCAAGTAAATGTATTATTATAAATTAGAATATATCAATGAAATCTATCTGTTTATTAAAAATGAAATTTTCATTTATACATCATTTATGAACAAAATTTTCTGGACTTTTGTGCTTTATACGATTTTCTGGATTTTTATATTATTTAACAAACGTTTGTTGCAAGTAAATGTATTATTATAAATTAGAATATATCAATGAAATCTATCTGTTTATTAAAAATGAAATTTTCATTTATACATCATTTATGAACAAAA